AGATAAATGCCAACATCTTTGGAAATTGCATGCATCAATATGTGAAAAGAAATGACATAATAGTCCGTAAAAACGAACGAATTGCCCAGATGGCTCTAAATCAGCATGCAAATAGATCCACATCCTGGTTACGGCCAACCCTAAGTAGGCTAGTGCTAAGCCAAAAGTAGTTATATTGAAAAATAGCTTTTTTCCAGGTAGAATAGATAACAGTACCAATACAATCATGGGTTAATTATCTTTCCTAACCTTATTTTCAGTAGATTTATCGAAATACAAGTCGCATCATGTTATCAGTTAAAATTAATAAAGCATTCGTTTAGTAAAACTAAACTTTATCCCTACTTTGAGGCAAAATTTCTAACAAACTTAAGATAATAGGCAGAATTTATTTAGATGTATCGATGATCTAGTTTTAAGAATAAGCTTGAAATTTTCCTAATCTGAAATTTAAAAATCGTAAAAGAATTTAAAGGTAGTTTAAGCTTGTTTTCGCAACCTGGTCTGAGAATGTACCACATCCATGGTCTGACTTTGGACATGATCATGCAGACAATGGACTCCGGACTAGGTGCGTTCCTCTAAGTCTTCCTGCCAATATGACCGAGTTGCGAAAACAAGGTCAAACAACTTCTATACAATGAAAGGAGACTGCGACCACACAATAGGCCACACCATCTTGGTGTTCATACCTTCGATTAAAAGAATTTAACCTACTAATCTTAAAATGCTTTCGTTGCAAGCTCTATTATTTGGAGTGTATCTCATATTGTGTGCTTGCAAATCTCATAATTTCTATGAATCAAAAGATAGTTTACTATGAAAATGTCTTTAGCCACATTATTAGGGCAAAATAGCATCGAAATTTAATTTCTGGTCAGCTAAGCCTATTCGTAATAATAAATATGCGTTTAAAATCTCGTCAGCAAGCAGTATACGATTGAATGAAATTTTATTATTATGAAATTTACTGATTTTGTAATAAAAATTCAATAAAGTTAGCCTCTGCGATCACCGGTTTTGGCGGAGCAAAAATAAACGAAATAAAATTGTTATTTGAAGAAGGCTTATACGCAGTATCTCGTATCAAATTCAGCTGCTTGGAGTCAACCTTATTCAATAATTCTGCCTCGTTCTTAGAAAAAATAATTTTTCTGTTGTGGTTCAGCATTCTGGACTCTGGAGAGCAACCTCTAGAGAATGCTGATCATATCCGCCTACCAAAGAGATGCTTATATCAATCTACATTTTGGGCTACAAAGAAATTGAGGTCAGATGTTCCGAATCATTTTAGACCAGTAATACAATTCTATCTGTTCTGAGACTGATAACAATATGTCTGAAGATGATCTTGAAGTTCTATGTATAAGTCGGTTGCGAGCAAGAAATAAATAGCAAGAACAGGACAACCGAAGTATTTTTCGGTAGTGCTGAAAGCAACAGAGGACACTGTTGCCATATGATAAAGAAGTCATCCATGCATCTAACTAACAGTTTGGGCGTCAATCTTGCCTCTTCCATGAAGTTTTCTTTCATTATTGACATGTAATTATTAGCCAAAATGGAAGCCAAGCAAGATCTCATTTCTAGCATGGCACCTATTCATAAACTGTATCATTAAGGGTGAAGTATCTGCTGCTCTGGATAGATTAAGAAGCCTTAATATTGAGATTTTGCTCAGATTTGCTTCCTCAATAATTTATGGGTGCTCATCTAGGCTGAGTGTTAGTGCTTTTATAGCTTCATGAATTGGGATGTTAGTATGCATTGATACAAAATGTAAACTCACAAAAATATTCTCCTCTCAAATACTCTAACAAATTCATATAAATTCCTCACTGAATATTTCGAATACTCTGCCACTTTTCTAACAGGCCTGTACAAGAAATTTCAAATCCTATGCATCACACTTCCTTTATTACTATATATATATATATATGTATATATACTGCTTTTAAGGGATTTTCCGGTGAGATTTCTTGACTCGTTAGCTTGAATTTGGTTGTGAAGATGATACCTTGCTTTGATGATGTTCGTCATATGACGGACGAAAGCTTAGCGCCTTTTAACCGGATTCGAAGGAGATTGCCTCGGAAACAGCGTCCACATGAATCTTCCAGTAAAGCCAATCGACAGCTGGTCAAGAGGAATCCGCCGTCGTCTTCTGGTGGAACCGCCCTTCGAATCTCTTCACCCAACACTTCCACTCAAAATGAAAGTAAGCTCAACAATTATGAAACAAGCGATTTCTCGGAAATAGCGTCACCGTGAATGTTCCAGTAAAGCCAATCGACAGCTGGTCAAGAGGAATTCGCCGTCGTCTTCTGGTGGAACCGACAAATCTTCCAGTAAAGCCAATCGACAGCTGGTCAAGAGGAATTCGCCGTCGTCTTCTGGTGGAACCGACCTCCGAATCTCTTCACCCAACACTTCCACTCGAAATGGAAGTAATCCCAACAATGTTGATCTTTTGTCTCTCCAATGCCAGTAAAGCCAATCGACAGCTGGTCAAGAGGAATTCGCCGTCGTCTTCTGGTGGAACCGACCTTCGAATCCTCGCGTCAGCATGAATCTTCCAGTAAAACCAATCGACAGCTGGTCAAGAGGAATCCGCCGTCGTCTTCTGGTGGAACCGACCTTCGAATCTCCTCAACCTAATCGACAGCTGGTCAAGAGGAATTCGCCGTCGTCTTCTGGTGGAACCGACCTTCGAATCTCTTCACCCAACAGCTGGTCAAGAGGAATTCGCCGTCGTCTTCTGGTGGAACCGACCTTCGAATCTCTTCACCCAACACTTTTACTCTCAATGGAAGTAAGCTCAACAATTATGAAGCAAGAGATTCCTCGAAACCCAACTTTCATTCGCATATATTCAAAAACAACCATGAAGGACTTTATAAGTTGTTATTTAATGAAGCCTCATATTATCACCCATGAAAAGTAATCCTAAAATGCCACCAATATATTCAAAGGAGAATAGATAGTTCAGCATCGTTAATGCACTGGCCAGAGGTGCCTTCATGGAAAAGAGGTTTGTGGACATGAATATTTCATTTGAACATATGAAGTACTGTTAAAACAAATATTTTGTTTGTAATTTTTAATAGTAAACTGCCAATAA